TATGAGTTGACACCGTGTATATGAAAATGTTGCCTAGGACCAGGACCCCTTTGTGCAAATGTTCATGTAGCACTTCATTGACTAATTGCGTGAACAGAGCAGGCACCCTCTGTAATCCAAATGGCAGCACTCTGAACTGGAAGCAGTCTAGAGGCAGTTTTCCATTCATCTCCCTCCTTAATGCAAACTCTGTAGTAAGCTTCCCTCAAGTCCAGTTTAGTAAAGATTTTTCCTTTGGCCAAATGTGCCGTTATGTCCTTCATTAGTAGCAGCGGGTAAACATTCAGCATTCGGCCCTTTATAATACACATAGAGATGAAGAGACCTGTCCTCCTTTTCATGAAAGAACACCAGGACAGCCATCTGTGACCTAGCTGGTTGGATGAAACCCCGCTTTAAATTCTTGTCAATTAAGGCCCACAGCTCATCCAACTCCCTTGGAGTCATCAAATAAATGTTTGGCTTGGGGAGTTTTGCTCCAAGGTGGATTTCTGTGCTGCAGTCCATGTGGTGATGGGGCAGGAGCTCATCAGAGCCTCAGTCACTGAATGCCTCCCTGAGGTCCCAGTATTTCTTTGGGATTTTTTCTCTCTGTCTGTGTGCTCCTGAACTGCAGCTCCTAATTCTCTTGTAACCTTGGCCCTTGGCAAGGGTTTCTATCCACCTCTTCCCACCAGTTGGGACCAGATTCTTAAAAGCCCCTTCCTCCAGTTTCCACAGGGTTCCATTTGTGGAGCCAGGTTAGTCCAAGCAGGAGGGACTTCTCCAGGGGTGGGATTCAAATTTCTTAACAACCGGTTCTGTGGGCGTGGCCTAATTTGTGGGTGTGTCTTGGTGGTCATGTGACATATGGGAGTGGCTTGCTGACTGGGTGTGGCTAGGTGGTCATGTGACTGGAGAGGCCCGGGCAGGTGGCCATGTGACTGGCAAACCAAATTTAAGTGGTCCTCGCTTAATGGCCAGGTCCTCGCTTAGTGACCAATTGCTTAGCAGGTGTTTTTTCCCAGTTTCCAAGGCCAGGGAAGCCCTGGAGAGGCCCGGGCAGGTGGCCATGTGAATGGCTGGGCGTGACTTGTATGTAAATATTACAAAATATTTATAAAAATATTGAATTTTTTATTAAAAAAAGAGTAACTTTTACCCAAAATCAGGCAAAGCAGGCAGGCAGATTGAATTGCTCACAGAATCACAGAATCGCTTAGATATCTGTGTTCCTGCCATCGGCTAGCTGAGTCTTCACTGCTTCAGTACTAAGCAAGGTTCCTCTCTGCTTAAAAGCAGAGCCGAAGATCTAAAGAGTAGCTTTGGGAATGCTAGGAATGTTGCATTTAGCAAAGAGTTCCACGAACAGGATACTGACCTCTGTAACAACTCAGCCTTTAAAAGAAAAGCATACTTTTGTTTCTCCAATTCTTATAAGAATTAAAACATCATGACACAAATCCTGTGACTTATGCAACTGCGCAATATGTTCTGTCACTACAATTTGTACTACAATGGCTAGGTGGGTGGGAGTCATAAAATATATACAGAATCCAAACTGCTAGCATTGTACCAAATTGTCCCATTTGCCCATCATTAAACTTTTTCCATCCTCTTTTTGTTTTGTTAGACAAAACAGAAATATTTCCAAAGAAAGTTCTGAATTGCAGTTATACATTTTATTTTGTTTTTCCTACAAACACTTATGTGACTGAAATAGTATCCGAAGGATTTCCTTGTGGATGATGCTAAGGGCTGATGACTTTCTCCACAACATTTTAACTTTTTAAATAAAAAACAAGCGGGGCAGAAGTATTCAGGGGTGGGATTCTCTCTTTCCCTCTCTTTCCTTCTCTTTCCCTTTCTCTCCCCCCCTCTCTCCCCCCTTTCTTTCCCCCTCTTTCTCTTTCTCTGACTCCCCTCTCTTTCTCTCTTTCTCTGTCCCTCTCCCCCTCTCTTTCTCCCCTCTCTTTCTCTCCTCTCCCTCTCTTTTTCTTTCTATCCCTTCCTTCCATCCCCTTTCTTCCTTTCACTTCTTTTCTCTCTCCCTTCTTTCTTTCTTTCTTTCTTGTTCTTTTTTTCTCTCTCTCTTTCTCTCCCTTCCTCTTTCTTGCCCTTCCTTCCTTTCTTTCCTTCCTTGTCTTTATCTCACACACACATACCAAACTCTCTCTCATCACACACACACACACACACACACACACACACACACACACACACACAC